TGACAAACAGAGGCTGAAACGGACAGCAAGTTACAGGGCCGCCCGGCTTTAACGCTGCCGCTCAGAAGATTAGCCTATCACTCATCAACATGGTGTCGCCTTACTCAATTAGCCACAACTCAAACTCTGTGTTTTAAACAACTGCAACATTCCTATCATGCCCACACAGTAGAGGTAATGGAGAACTGCCTTGAGAGGACATCTGCCCCTGCTCCCATTAAGACAGCCCATGCTGCTGTCTCACCGAGGCATTCTGGGAGACGGGAATGAAGATAAGATGGTGTAAGGTGAGGAGAAAGCGGATGAAGAAAGATATCATGCCATACCGAATGCCACTTTGAGTGTCGCTCCATGGCAAGAACTGGCATCAGCTGTGTCTCCCAGAAATGGACACATTTATATTCTCTTTCTCTCACTCTCCCCCTCTCACACTCTTATGGTCTGCGTTAGCCTTCATAAAATATTCATGTTGGTTGTGCTCAGTGCCATAATTGCCATCTCAGCTTCTGAATAATTAATGGCTGGTGCCGTTGACTTGGTCTCATTTACTGAGAGTGTGGGTAATACCATACTCGCACATGCCACATGCTCTAATGCCATGCTGCTGCAGTTAGTGCTGACTCCAGATCAGCCGCTCTCTCTGCACGCCGCTATCATTCATCTGAAACCACCCTCACAGCTAGTCAAATGCATTTAAATCAATAGCACTAGTGACTTAGGCTACAAGTATCACTGCAAACACTGGGGGGCAATTTGATTTCGTTTGATGTGCTTTTAGGAGTGACTCGAACTCAATGAGAGGCTGCAGAGACTTTCCCAAACGCTCTTTCGTTTATTAAAGTGCATTTTTCTGTGATCGTTGCATTTTGAGTGGGTGTCTGATTGGAAAGAGCACTTTCCCGTGTGGATGTTTTGTATTTAATTTGACGTCGAGCGAAACAGGCTTCATTTTTGTGAATCATTCCTCGGCTGAGATTTGAGGAGAATAACGCAAACGGCTTAACGGCTGAGTGTCCAAGTTGAGCGACCCTGCAGGAGAGTTAATTAACAGGCCAGAGCTGAGCGGACAGATGTGACCCCTAGACAGACCGAGGTCAAAGGTCAATTTGTTGAGGATTACATTAACCCTGCCTACACCAACCCCAACCCCATCACCCTTCGACTGCTGCTTTAATTCATTGCTCTCCTTCTTTTTCGGCCTGACATTCACTCTTACCCCTCTTCACGGCTTGGGTAAGCTGCAATCACCCATTAGTGCACTGCTAAGTGAACTTTACAGGCTATTTGACTCACTGTGTTCAGTCCGAAGGGCACTGCAAAATGCACAGGAAACAATAGTATATCACATCACAGTAAGTGTAGAGAAAAAAATTCCAAGAAGTCACTGCAAACCATCTGAATATCACAGAAAAATTTGTTAAAAATAAACACAGGGAGGAGGTGAATTATCCACAGCTGCTTGTGGGTATAAAGCACACAAGATGTGACCATTACAATATTATCATCATAGCCATAGGTCAAGAAGCAGTTAAAAAGACACACAAATTTTTAAATAAAATCACACAAGTTATTTTTATATTACATATCACAGCCATCATGTATTGTAAATGTTTGGCTTTTTGATCATACAAATTCTATTAATTTAAAGAAATAAAATATTCAAATTAAAATCTGAATATAAATATTAAATAATCAGCACAACTGTTTTCAACACTGATAAAATGAATGTTCCTTTAACAGCAAATCAGCATATTAGAATGATTTCTGAAGGATCCTGTGACACTGCAGACTAGAGTAATGGCTGCTGAAAATTCAGCTTTGAAATCATGGAAATAAAATATATTTAAAAATGTAAAATAAAGATAAAATAAAAATAAAAATCACAGGCTCCAAACTTTAGAATGGTAATGTAGATGTATATCTGTGCGATGTGTCTCATGTGTTTGATGACACTGCAGCATTCCCAAATGGGGCATTTTCTCAAGTGAAGTGAACTTCAACAGATATATCCCGCTCAGTGTGTATAGCGAGCAATGAACACTGCATAGAACCCCTGTGAATCAGAGCGCAGCTACTCTCTCATTCTTCCACGTCGTCATCTGTACTCTTTCCATCTCAGTTACAGTTTCATTAGCAGCCGGTTTGATGTGCCTAAAAGTACAATGTAAGAGTTATTAAGCAGAGCAGTATGTATGACAGGTCAGGCTCTGTGCTGTGACTTAAACTCATCCTACCAATCAGACACTTGGAGCGTTGCCCTCTTCCTCATGCTGACTGTGGTAATAGCCCTCTCTAATTGAAGTGCTCTTAGCCACGCCATTTGCAACGTACCGTCCAATCTCTTCTAAAAGCATAAGGTCCCTGTCCGAAGTGCCCTATGGAGGGGACAGTGCGCACTTTATTAAACATTACACGTGTGATTACATGTCCCCTCCCTGTTCGGCAGGCATCGGAGTACTCTCGCTATTGCTAATGGAGCTACAGGGTCAACAAAGTCAAACTATACCCACATTACACATGTGGATGAGGGCTCTAAAAACTATGAGTGAGTGTTTATGTGAACGTGGCGTGCGGTTAGGAGACCAGAAGGACAAATCCATATCGCGGAGGGAAAGAAAGACAAAGGATGTCTTCCTAAAGTGAGGGCACCCAGGGTTTTGCGGGGGATTTAGGAGGACTATGAGAGTGTGATGTCAGCGATGGGGTTAAGCCCAGACTTATCTCCACACAAAGCAGAAAAGAGAGTAAGAGAAGGAAAGCGAGAGCGTGGAAGAATAAGGGACAGGTCAGGAGCGCTCAGACAGGGTCAGTGGCAGGAGGGAATCAGTGGGGAAGAAAGCTGCGGCTTAGAGCTCTTAAATGATATTATAGACGAGGCCTGTAGCGCTAATCTGTTTACCCAAACAACACAGTGGATAACACACAAACATGTTTTTATCAATGCACACACACTGAGCTGCAAAATGCAAGATGTGATCTATATGCGCAGTGCTATGCATGATATCATATTTGAAATATATACACACACAAACACACACATACAGTGTGCATTTTCCATCTGACATGCTACAAGGCACAAAGGCATGAGAAAGGAATGAATGGATTGACACATATGGATGTGAAATGGTGTACAGTAGATTAAAGAGCAAAGGATGAGACCTGGACCGCTTATCCTAGAGGAATCACAGCCAGCACAAACAGACTATGCATCTTACATTCCTTCAGCACTAACAAGCCAGCTGCACAAACACACACACACACACACACACACACACACAGACACAGACACAGACACACACACACAGACACACACACACACACACACACATTTGTTTTCATATCGTGGTGGGGGCTTTCCATTGACTTCTGTTGTTTTTATAATAAGCTACTACAGACTGGCCTAAACCCAAACTTTAACTTTGACTAACTTTATGTAGCCTATAAAAAAAGCTATATTTTTTTAAATAATTTTATGTAAATCATTTTAACCTTTAAAGACAGCCCTGTGTGTTTAGTTACATATGTATGTATCTAAAACAATGGAAATTACCTAATTATTTCTTAGTGTAGCTCAGGAAAGGAAGATATGTTATTATGTGTGCTTTTTTTTTTTCTGTAGAAGTGAGCTAAATCTGACAAAACCACCATCTGGTGAAATAAATTATTTTCATGATCATATATATATATATATATATATATATGAAAATAAAAAATGTTTTCTGTTATGGCGACATTTAGGTTTGGATTTGTAAAATGTATAATGACCTAAATATCAAACCAGGAAATATGCTATTGGTATATGGGTACTATGGGCCCTTCCGGTTCCTGACAATTAACCTGTCTGCCATGCTGCTGAGTGGTTTGTGATTGTAGCTCCATGTAGCTTCGCTTTTCTGTTGAATCTGCCAAAATGTCTTCTCGGCCTCCATACCAGAAAACTCACCTGTTGGAATGTGCTTCCTAAATCTGAATGTTTCAGATCCAGATGAGGGTAACATTGCACTACATACACTACCATATATATATATATATATATATATATATATATGAAAATAAAAAATGTTTTCTGTTATGGCTTGACTGTGAGGTTAGAAATCTAAAATAAAATATAAAAACATTAGACTTCTATAGTATGTCCCACTTTTGACAGCTCAGTAAAAGTTCTTAGAAGTTGCCTTCACTGAGTGTCAATGCATTTGTGTGAGTAGTGACAGACAGCAGATATAATAGTGGATAGATGCTGCAGACAGACGTTGGTTTTCAACTATACCAGTGCAGTGAACCGGAAAACCATGAATGAAGAAAAAAGAGAGAAACCCTGCTGTGCTAATTAATATTGTAGATTTCAGACCACAGAAAAGGAGGGAAAACACACTGAATCACAGCCATACAAGATTTGACAGCCCACTGGATTCAGCATAAAAAACACTGTTCTTAAAACCCATAAATAATAAACACTTACAAATCATTTGACACACATTATTAATTTGATTGATGAATGGCACAGTAATATTCACAATATTGGATGTTCCCCTGGGAAATTTAGTAGGTGCGTCTAGCTGCTGAATTTATACATCTCTGAATAATAGTTGATAAGGATTCTACTATGGTTCCTTTATGAGGAAATCTCGCTGGATTTGTGACTATTGTGAGTCTAATTGCGCTTTGGAGTGACCTCAACATCACACTTCGATCTCTCTTGATCTTTCTCCTGCTTTCTTCTCCTTTTCTGACTGACCTGTTTCTGGGTTCTCGACAGATGATCTGTGCTTCATTTCTAAGACCAGTGTGTGCGTGTGAATAAACTGTGACCTTATAGTATGAATGCACAGAATAGTAAAAGTCTATACAGAAAAGTATGTTAACAACAAATATTAGATCTAATGCTGTCAATGTCAGTACCACACAACACTGAAATCTTTACCTCATTCTCACACCACAGTTTAGATTAAAACAAAACAGACTTACCTCATAAATTCTGTTATTCTGTGTTTTTCCAGGTTTTTCCTGAAATTCTTCCTCAAATGCAACCAGAACTGCCTAAAGAATGCAGGGAACCCACGAGACATGCGGCGATTCCAGGTAGGACCACATTCAACCAAATTAAAGTGGCAAAATTGCCATTTTAACCATGTATGTTAGTGGATAAGCTACACTTGCATTGCTTGCTGCGTGAAATGGCAACACTAAAATGTCCATTAATAACATTAAAATCATTATTATATTAAATAATACTCAACAATTAAGTAGTTAATGAACAACTAAATAGTTTGAAATGACATGAAATGTAATATATTTCAGAGATATCAATTGATTAACTTTTTAAAATAAATTAATTACGTAATACATGGTGATTAATCAGCTTTAAATACAATAAATCACTTTTATCAATATCTGAAATACATTCAATATTTAAATAATATTTAAAACACCTTAAATTAAGATAAGCATTGAAATCATTGAATATATATTACGAAACATGGCCCTTATAAATTCTGTTTTTCAATTGACAATCCAGTGTATTTCACTAAAAATGTATGAATGGTTGACCAATGAAAGGTTTTCTTAACAGATAAAGTGCGAGCACTAGAGAATATATAAAGAGATATGGATGTAGAGAAGAGAGAGAAAAAGAAAGCTTTGAGCGAATGAAGTGGCTGCCCAGAACAGGGATAATGTAAGCGGTGTTTGCCAAGTCACATCAAGCCTCTTCCTCTCTTGAGATTGAGAGACCTCTCAAAGCCTGAGAGCCATTTAAATCAAGAGGCTCCTCAGTTGCTGTGGGACACTTCTAGTCTACGTCTTCAGCTCTGTGAGAGCTGTTAGCTGCTGTCATTGTTCCAGGCTCTCTGGTGAAATGTGCCTGTTCGTCAATTTATCAGTCAGCAGTTACTTACAGGCATACCGTGTGTATGTGCTGCCCCAACACTTCAGCTGTTTGTTTGAGCTACGTATTAATTTGTATACAAGTATACATACAGAGTATGTCTTTGCGGGTCAAGTGAAGTACTGTCGGCATTTGTCTCTTTCAGGTGGTGGTGTCTACGACGGTGAGCGTGGATGGACACGTCCTTGCTGTGTCTGATAACATGTTTGTTCACAATAACTCTAAACATGGACGCAGAGCTCGCAGGCTGGACCCATCTGAAGGCAATCCATCATACCTGGAACACGGTGAGTGTACTCACTGTATCTGTTTACATGCGGTTTGTTGAGAAATAAAGAACACACGTGTTTCATATTGATATACACAAACTCTTTATATCAATTTTTTTTTCGTATAGTGACAGAAAAAATGAGACAAATGGAAGAAACAGTCTGCAGGAATAAAAGACGTAGTGTAATGTAGTGCAACCCAATGTAAAATTTCCTTCATTATACTTTCCCTCACAACCAACTCTTTTATTTGCGCACAGCTATGTAGTTTCATGGTTTGGCTTCATGAGCACAGATGGCTGCCCATCATGGCTAGCACTGTGCTCTTCCCTTACGTCAACTTATAAACTTACAGACACAGCTTAAAGCTGAAGTGTGCCATTTCTAACCAACTTACTGTCACCAAACGGTATTGCAAAAATAGTGATTTCAGGTTTCCTGAACCCTCCCTCATCTTCAATTGTCTTTATAGTCTTGTATGATCAGGACAAAACAAGTATCACAGTGTTACAAACCCACAATGTTCACTGTTAACTTACTTATAGTTGTCTCAGCATATGAAGGGGATATGAAAAAAAGCTTTAAAATTAAAAACAAGTCAGTGAATGTTGAACAGTGGCAACAGGCAAGTTCACATGCAACAAATTACAAATGCAACAGGGTCAGTCCCACTGGAAAAACCTGGAGTGATTTGCTAATTGAAACAATCGTAATACACTGTAAAAGCTATTATTTTGAGCATTATTTTTGTCTTATTGTCCATTACACTTATATAAATATCTTTAATACAGATAAATTGTTTGTATTTTCTTGTTTTAAGTGTAGACATCGTAGAGCATTTTGTGTGACTTATGCTTAAGACCATATATACAGTATATATATACACACATATGCCAAGGGGGTAAGAAAATCAGTGTATTTCAAGATCTATTCTCTTATTACCATATGCAATTTTACTTAATAAATGTATCTTGCTTTAAGGATATTTAGATAATTCTACTGGAAAACAAGACAAAAATACTGATTAAAGGTGCAGGTGAAATATTTCCCCACACAGATTTCGCATCGGGTTCAGTTGGTCATGCTGAGTTTGCCATGTTGAGTAACAGAAAGCTGCTTCATTAAAGTGACTTCTGTGAGAGCTGTGCTTCATACGTCACTAATTACTGACAATGGACCTTTTTGGTCACAAAATCTTGTGCCAGGACCTTAAGAAAAAGGTATTTTTTTCAGTATAACTCATGAATTTGAACCTGAAACCTTTCATCCAGCCCAGAGCTTTAATCACTACAGTATCTCACACTACCCTTCCAGACTACTTTCAACTAGTTTGCACACTTTATTATTTAATGATCCAGGGTGCAGTTGAGCACAGACAAAACTCTTGACTCTCCACTGGCTGAAAGACAACTCTGACCATTTAATCAACCACAGCACGTTTATGTGCTGCTGTCATGTTTTAATGCCACTAACACTACCAAATATTAAAGGTGGTTTGAGCTAACCTGGCTTTCATTTGACTAACAAACAGCATACCAACACTAGCTGTGCAGTAAAGCACCAACAATGCACCAGGGCTAAGAAAAGAGCAGTGAATTCAGCATTCCCCAAGTGGCCTGTTCTCTTTAGGTTTGAACTGAACATGTGTCTTATGAGACCTCTAAGGCTTAAGCCCCGAGCATTTATTTTCTGAATGGCATGTGGCTTTATCTGCTGTCCTCTTCTAGTGTTGCAGGTTATGGTGCGGCCCTCCTAAATCTGTCTAATAATATGTGGACATGATTTGAGCACTGATTTGATCCTCAGCCGCAATCAAATCCAATCATTTTCTCATTTATATTTGGGATGATTCTAGAGAAGAACATATTTTTCAGTTGGACTGTTAGCCTCTATTTATGATAAGAAACTGAGGATTTGAATGATGATGATTTGATGATGATGATGCTGATGATGATTAAGTTCTCTCTATTCTCCTGGGGACGTCTTCAGTGTTTAAGCACAGTTTCCACTGCACGGAGAAAATTTAAAAAGTCGGTTTTCTAAAGCCTGGACAAATTTGAAAATATGTGGAGGTTTATTATTTTTCTTTCCTTCTCTTTTTTCCAAAAGAAAGTATAGGATAATTCCAGAGACAGACAGGCTTATATTGTAATTCCTCATTATGTCTAATATAAAACCCTGACATGCACATATAGATATATTTTTCTTGGAGGGCAATGCAGAAATTCCAATGTCAGAGCTCCAAAATTCAATACAGAGTTATTGTAGTAACTAAATTCCACTTGAAATTGAAACACCTGTCATTCACTGTGTGCTACACATTCCTGCCCCTTGGTATGATCTTATTAAAGGAACAGTTCACCCAAAAATGAAAATGTGCTCACCCTCAGGCCATCCAAGATGTACATGAGTTTGTTTCTTCATCGGATTTAGCATTGCATTACTTGTTCACCAATAGATCCACTGCAGTGAATGGGTGCCATCAAAATGAGAGTTCATACAGCTGATAAAACATCACAAAGTAATCCACAGGACTCCGGTCCATTGAATAATGAAATCATGTTTGTAATAAACAATAACTTTAAACCATTGATTCCGGCCAAAATACAAGTCCTCTATCCATAATATTGCTTTCTACAGTGAAAAAGTTGTCTCGTCTGAAACAGGAGAGAAATATGCTCAGATCAAGCACTGTTTACAAGAGAAAATAGTCCAAAACAGTTCTAAACAAATATGTTGGTCAAAACATTTGTGGATGAGAAGGCGTTATTATGGATTATGGACTTCCATTTGTTTCTTACAAACATGCCAGCTTTTCACTTCACGAGATGTTAATCAGTGTACTGGAGTCATGTGGATTACTTGTGGATTATTGTGATGTTTTTATCAGCTGTTTGGACTCTCACTTTGACGGCACCCATTCAGTGCAGAAGTTCCATTGGTGAGCAAGTGATGTAATGCTAAATTTCTGTTGAAGAAATAAACTCATCTATATCTTGGATGGCCTGAGGATAAATATATTTTCTCTTTTTTTGTGAACTATTTTAGCTAATATAATAATGCTTTCCACTCCCAATCTATTTAACACATTTTACCATATTTAAATCCATTCCACAGAATTCTGTAAGTTTTTCTTCAACACAAAATATGGCCTTCTAATAACCAACAGCACACTTCCCTTCTCTCACCCCTGCTTAGCCACTCTTGTCCATTATTGTGTCAGTTTTAAACCATGTCCACTCCCCTCCAGCTAATGAGCCTGTTCTGTCAGATATGGCGAGCATGTGTGTTGATTGCTCTGGGCTGCGGAGACGAGGGCAGTGAGGGCACCAATACGTGAGGTCATGTCACAAACGCACTGTGGTGGAAAGAGGTGTCTGCAGGGCTTGAGAATGTTAGTTTGTAGAAGAGAAAGCTATTGTGCTTGTATCTGAGATGTGTGTAAGAGCGAGCACGCGTACGCTTGCATACAGCGTAAGGGAACAGATGGCGGCAGAGGAGGCACCAAAGTTTAATCCTATCAGATGGATTCACATTCCACCATCTGCTTAATCCATGCGCAATTTCAGCACCCTGCAAAAGAGTCGTCTTAGGCCAAGATTACCATCACAGATTGCTCCACCGTTCCTCTTCATCTCTCCTGGTTTATCACGCCGCCAAATTGCATTATGCCCAGCAGTCACCCACAGCACAGCTTCGAAGAAGAAAAAAAAAAGGAGCACAGACAAACTGGGGAAGTCCTCAAGGCCGCAAAGTGGATTACTTCACTTCTGAAAATTACTACATGGCTGGTACACAGAATATATGTGATATTTTGATTGGTCTAAGGAGATTTGCTTTGTATATTTGGGGTTATTGAAATGCTTTAAAATCAAGTTCCTTAATCTAAAATATGTAATTCCGTACTTAATATGCAATACACCTTCAGGAAAACATTCAACAGGACACTGCAAATATGATATGAATCCTGGAAGACTATAAAGGTCTTCCACAGATGCATCACTATACAGTGTTGCAGTTTGGAATATTATTACTTAGCATTTCTATATTTAACATGGATATAAAAAGTCTTAAACTCACCCAAAAATGATTACACACTTACAGTATAAAACAGACTTTCTGCTGTTGCTGAGTAATAAAAATATATCCTTTTTAATGTGTTTTGTGCAAAAAAAAATCTATGTCTGACTAATCTAACCCTAATGTCTATTATACAATAATCTTACACACTGTATATAGTGATATTTTGTGCAAATTGAGTTAAAATGCTGTTTAATTATGTTACCCAATATGAGATCCTCATTATTTTTGTACAAGATTAAATAAATACAGCTTTTTCTGCAAAATAAATAAAAACACCTCCTATGTACATTTATTACCTTTCAAAGTTTGGGGTCAGTAAGATTTTTCTTTAAAGAAATGAATAGTTTCAAAAACTATTTTAAACTATTGTTTAAAAAACTGTTGTTTTTTTTAATTAAAATGTTTTCACAAAATGTTTCTACAAAAATATTAATCAGCAATATTTACAACATTGATAATAATGAGAAATGTCTATTTATGCTTAAGATCTGCTTAAGGACCATGTAACAATGAAGACTGAAGTGACTGCTGAAAACTTTGCCATCACAGGAATAGAATAAATGTTATACTTTTTTTAACTATAAATGCAGTCTTAGTAAGTATTAAAGAATTTCAAAAACATAAAAAAAAAAATCTTACCGACCCCAAATTTTGGAATGGTAATGTAGCTAGCTTCTATTCATTTGTAGCTTGTAGTGGTGCTAACTGCTTTTTCAAGAGGGTAGCATGATTGCACTATAGCTTCACAAACCACAGTTTAGCTTCCACAACATCGTTCCCCAGACTATTTTTCCCCTGCTGTTGAAACTCTCCATCTCCCCTGCTATTATATACGCTAGCTCTTCCCAGGGCATCGCCGGTGGCTGACATACACCAGTTTGAGCTGTGCGAGTGAGGCCTACAGCCTCGTCTCATCTCAGTTCAGGTTCTATCAGCAGCACCGAGCACCTCCTGCACACAGGCCATCTGCCTCTGCCGCACGTCTGCCTCAGTTAGGTGCACTATCATATGAGCGTCGAGTGTAGCCCCCCACCCTCGCCCAGGGGTCCTGCCTACAGTCAGAGCGGTGTGTAACGCTTGTTAAAGGATGTGTGTTCAGTTCCCTATACCAGAGTCACAGTGGACAACAGAGCCACCCGTGATAGACTCTCCTGTTCTCTGTCTCCGAGGACTCTTACTTTTCCTTTTTGTTCTCCCTCATGTCTTTTCCTTCTATTTAAATCCAGCAGCAAATTGGAACAACAGTAATTAGTCGGTTAAAGTGCCTTCAGTGAGACACCAAGCTTTAGAATCCGGTGCCAAAGTTCAACACGCTGAAATGAAATTTAAACTCATTAAGGTGTTGAATTTTTATGGCTGGCTGCTGTTTTCTCAGAGTGTCCCAGGGCGCCTGGCCTTTTGATCGACTGCTGTAAGGACTCCGGATTTCTCTGTGCCTGGCGAACTCCGGCGCTCATGACATTTGCACGAGTGTCATAAAACAAGCGCTCGCACCTGGCCCCCTCCCTCCTCGCACTCACATGGGGTCAGTGTAATATTTAATAAAGGTGTGTGTATAATCAAGCGGAATTAGCATTCGTGTTCTCCTTCCACCCCCAGAGGGGAAGGAGGGAGGGGTTGGAGGGAGGAGTGCTGCTATTGTACACTCATCACTGACTGATCTTTTCCAGCCTGACCCTCAGATTTCATTAATTATGTCCATGACTAAAACAAAGGCGGAGGGGAATTATGCCTTTTATAAGCAGAGCACCAGGGGGGCTTTCATTCTGTCTTGTCTCCCTGCTGTTTTGCCTGCTCTCAGTTTGGTCAACCGAGTCTGAGCATCTGTGGACCAGAATGCATAAGTTGCATATGTCATATAACAATATCAAAATAACAAAACATTTAAATAAATGACAGATGAACATGAGTGTGCATGGGGACGACCAGAAATAAGTGGGAAAAGACATGTAGAGAAATCATCAAGCGAAAATATACAAAATATAGATAATGCAGAATATTGTAGTCTAATCAAAATTCATCATACTAATGCATCACCCTTACAACTATATGGAAATTGTGCAAACATGATTTTACTTATTATTATATGATTTTAATATTAATATTCTGGCTGATGATAATTATTTTCATGATATGAGATATACTAATTTGACTAAATAATTTCAAAATAAAACATTAAAAACTAAAATAGCTTTAGTAATATTTTTAAATGCTAAAATTGAGTTTGTGTTACAACTTTATATTGTATATATTAATTATTTTTATTATTATTTTTAATTTGTATATAAATTGTATATATATATATATATATATATATATATATCTGGAGTAATGATGCTGAAAATTCAGCTTTGCCATAACAGAAATAAATTACATTTTAAGATATAAAACATTTATTTTAAATAGTAATAATATTTCACAATAATACTGATTTTACTGGGTTTTTTTGTGATCAAATACATGCGGCCTTGGTGAAAATTTTAAAAACATTAAAAAAAATTTGAACGGTATACTTTTATATATTTATATACTTTTATTGTAATATAAAATAATTATATCGGTTGACATAGCTCCCACCACTAATTAGCATATGTGACCCTGGACCACAAAACCAGTCATAAGGGTCAATTTTTTTAAAATCAAGATCTATCGATAATCTGAAAGCTGAATAAATAAGCTTTCCATTGATATATGGTTTGTTAGGATAGGACAATATTTGGCCGAGATACAATTATTTGAAAATCTGGAATCTGAGAGTGCAAAAAAATCAAAATCGCCTTTAAAGTTATCCAAATGAAGTTCTTAGCAATGCATATTACTAATCAAAAATTTAGTTTTCATATATTTACGGTAGGAAATTTACAAAATATCTTCATGGAACATGATATTTCCTTAATAGCCTAATGATTTTTGGCATAAAAGAAAAATTGATAATTTTGACCCATACAATGTTTTTTTGGCTATTGCTAAAAATATACCCCAGCGACTTAAGACTGGTTTTGTGGTCCAGGGTCACATATATATACCTATATCAAATTGTTAAATTATATATGTTTATTAAATAAATGTATATTATCTCTTAAATCGATAACCAATGGTAAAGAGAGAAGAGGGTAACAATGCAGAGCTGTAACAATGCAGATTTAAACTATGGAGTGGAGTTGGAGTGGGGTTTCTGTCACCAGTGAGAATAAGAGTGAAGCTGGAGCAGATTCATTACAGAACACTGAGCGGGGAGGAGACATTGCTGTCACTCCACTCCACTCTCTGATTTCGAGTTGTGTTCCTTCATGTGGCGATGGCTACAATCTAATGTTCCCAAAACACAGCTAGAGATGATCAGGGTGAGGATGCAGGTGATTTCCAGGCAACCACAGCAGTGAATCATGCTACTATACAGGGTAGATTGAGATAAATGATCAGTGAGAGGGCGTCATCTCTCATGCTCGCGCCGCTGTCAGGAAGCACATGGGGATGGCGCAGAGGAATGGCCACAGTCTAATCATATGTGACGACTCTAATGAGTCAGTCACTTGTCATTAAGCTGTGCCTAAAGCTTCCTAATAGAGTGTGGCTCATAAATCTATTTGCCGTAATCAGGAAGAAATCAGTTGCACAGGTTTAGATTTATTTCCTAAGTATTTAGTCTTGTGCATGAAATTATGTCACAGGTAATGCACACGAGTGATGATTTGCTGGCTGCTTCCAGATGTTTATTCTGATGCTTCTTGACATTATTTATGTATTATCTCTTTACAGGTGTCTTGATGTGTACAGGCAAATACATACAGTCATCATTAATGTATATTGCATATGCCTTTTCGAGATAAACTAGCTGTTTATTGTATACAACAGCCACTGGCTTACTCGTTTTTTTCCCTCTTCCTCTTTCTCTAAAACAGCTACCCCTTGCATTAAGGCCATCAGTCCCAGTGAAGGCTGGACGACAGGGGGTGCCACAGTCATCATCATTGGTGATAACTTCTTTGACGGCCTACAGGTCATCTTTGGCACCATGCTGGTCTGGAGTGAGGTCAGTTACCTTTCTATGCAAACTTCTTCCAAAAATAAATCCATGCTCCCGCCAAAAAACAACAACAACAGAGATTTGGGAATCACAACTAGGATCAAACTGAATTTGAATACAAAGAAAAAGCAATTAATGCACCTTTTTAACTAAAATAGTTAAGCAACCTAATTAACAAATATGCCTTATATGGAAGATGCATTCAAAATCCACTTGGCTTACAAATATGAAAAGACACATGCCAGTTTGAATGAGCATAATGCTTCTGTTCTCATTTTTGGTCAGCCAGTCTGTCTGTTTTCCTGTCTGTCCATCTGTTTTGGTCTTTTACTCACTCAGTTTCTGCACTGCTCATGTTGGGAAGAGCTAGATGAAAGAGGTAATTCTATAAAAAGCTTCTCATTGACAATGCCATATTTATCTGAGAGGTGAGAAGAGCAGTGCCTGGCATATGAAAGCCCAGCTAAGTGAGCAATGAAAGGGACGGTTTAAAGCCATGTAAAGCAGCACCAGTGCTGCTGGCTTTGAATATGACAGAGCGTTTGCAGAGAAACTGAGCACTCGCAGCTGCTTTGTAGTTGCACGGATCCTCTTCAAAAGCGACTGAGCACAGTTTCACAAATACTGTAAGCAGTCAAATCATAGTCTAATCAGAGAACAATACACTACTGTTTAATAGCTCAGCTAGACATGGGTAGCTTTAATGCATGTTTTTAATTTTTGTGAACTAGTTCTACAGTACAAGAGTCAGACAATTCAGATGCAAAAAAAGGTGGACAGAATTTTGATTATAAAATGACTTGGATTGTCAGCATCCACAACAAACAAAAGCTTTACTCTAATTGGCTGCATGGTGAGATTTGTGTCACCATGTGCAACTAACAGAAAAGGTAATCTCTGACTCCAGTACTGACCAGTGACTTCTCATAACTTTATGTAGCATGTCATTGATATTTTTCTTATACTGAAATGAGGGACAAAATAAAAGGAAGAATAACTAAAACACTGATGCTCTCAACATCTCAAAATATACTGTAGGATATGTTCAGAATAGAATACATCCTCAGATAAAAGGTACGAAAGCTATCACTTGTGCGGTACCCTTTCAAAAGGTACTAATAGTATGTACACTTTACATACTAATATGTTTAATTTAGGTGTAAATAAGATACAAATATGTACCTTCTAGCTTTTGTACATTATGGTACAGCCCCAGTGACAGCTTTGTACCTTTTGCTTAATATGTAATGTATACTCCACAGTATACACTGTATGCTGCCTACTGTTTTTTTTTTAAAAAAAGCATTAAACATTTAGAGCAACAATACAAGTAGGCCTATATTGTTGTCACATGACATAATTATGTTGCATGTGTGGAAGTGACCATTTAAAATATTTAAAACAAAACTTAATTATGAATAATTAAATGAAAATACAGTATATTTAAAATAATAATAATTGAGTAAAAATGTCTTATCTTTTGGAAGTAAATGACCAAATAATGAATAATGAAAGAGATGTTAAAAATTGATGTTGTGATCAGTTCAGGTTCCTTTGGAACACTGGAAATTAAAGGTCATACACATTGTATTGTGTTTATTTTAATATTTTGTAGCCTTATTTCAACCTATGTAATCTGTTTTATTTTGTCAACAAAAAAAAATCCCCCCCAAAAAAACACTTCTTATTTTCTCTTTCAGCTCATTACCCCTCACGCCATCCGAGTTCAGACTCCTCCCAGACACATTCCCGGGGTTGTGGAGGTCACTCTGTCTTACAAGTCAAAGCAGTTCTGCAAAGGTACACCGGGCAGATTTATCTACACAGGTAAGAATAACATTAAGCACCCTTAGCTATACTCAGCTAGCTACGTACAACCATCATGTCTTATTCCTTTTCAACTGTTCTTGATTTCTCGTCGTTCTGGGTTGAGTAAGTCACCCAGTGTTTCCTGTAGTGAGAAACCTACACCATAGAGGAATCCTACCTATTTCCTGAGCACACAGCTTAATACGAACGACTGCGCCTCGAACTCCAGGAAGATCCTGCAGCCTGCACAGATAAGGGAAATGTAGGACTTATCTTATAGAGGAAAAAGAGGTCACTTGTGATATCTGCTGGCTTCAAAATGAGTTTACAGTACACTCTACATATTGGGAGTTCAGCCAACTAGAAGTAATTAACTTCGGAGTTCCAGAAGTAAGGGAAGCACATGATGGAAGTCTATGATGTAATCTAATGGTAAAACAACATGAAATCAGTGGAGGAAGAGGTGATGAGTTTGTTCGCTGATCTTGCAGCTTTTTTAGTTTAAATTTAGAGTTTGCAGTCAAAGTACAAGCACAGCTTTTCTGAAGAGTGTTAAAACGCTGAAGGGAGCAATGTTAAAGGCCTGTCTCATCAATAGGTTTAAACAGTGCACAGCTGTGGGTATTGTTGGCTCAGTAGGTGTCTATGTATATGCCTGTGCATTCGTGGGTGTGAATGAGTATGCTCGTTGGGTTTATGGCGCTGGACTTGGCTTCTTTTCATGGCCTATTCAGCGAGCACATGGGGAGGAGTGGAGGGAGGGATTTAGATGTTCGCACACAACCATACAAACACACGTTCAGCCACACACCCTCCAAAACAGAGGGCAGATGGTCACCCCATTTTATGGCTGCACTTCTAGATGTGCCCCTTTTGCTAAAGATTCAAGCTTAATAACCATCAAGAAAGCTTTTGATTAAATGTGCCATTTTAATGCACACAGCACTCAAACTCAGTTTGAAACTCAATGCTGTTAATGACAAGAGACCAAATGCAGAGCTGTCGGTCTATACACACATTAAAATGGCGCCCAGCCCTCAGGTTGGCTCCACCATGCAATTCTTCTCAGTTTGAAGCATTTTGGGCCATCTCTCTTCCTCTTGTCCCCCTGTCCCAGCTACTGCAGTGGGACGTCAGCCTGCATGTGTCTTTCTTTCCTGGCTCCAGTTGGCACCTGTGCTTTGCCCAGTTGCCAGTGGGTACTAATCATAGAGTATTGGCAAAGCTATGTGGCAGCTGGCAGTGGAATTACACATGGGGCATCTGGCACCTCTAATCAACTTCTGTCAGGCAGAGGAGATGGAGACCTAATTAAATCAATGGTGCACTGATGCTGCCTCGCTCAAACACCACACAGCCATGCGGAAAGGCTGAGCCGAACCTGGAGAACATCCCTCACAGCCATGGTGGAGAGACAAAAACAATTCTTTCAGGAAAAAAAAAATTCATTTCATTTTGCTTTTTTACTTTGAATGCATGGTTCTCACAAGTATATATACTATGTGCATGATTTTAGAGTATTGTCTTTATGAGTAAATTATGACGCTGATTATATTTGACACTGTTCCGTCTGTAGTGATAGAGCTGTGTTTTGGCTTTGACTTCACTCTGATTATGAACCCAGCAGCCACCCAGTAAATGGATTCCTCAAAGGCCTCTCATTTCAGAAGTCTCGTATTCTCTAGGATTCTTGGCACACGCTCGTGTGAACTGTGCCTCTGGCTGGACAACAGTTTGTAGTTAAGGGGATAGTTCACCCAAAAATGAAAATTCTGTCATCATTTACTCACCATTATATCGTTCCAAACACGTATGACTTTCACTCTTCTGTGGAAAACAGAAAGAGAAAATTCTAAGAAATGTGATGGGTGTTTTTCCATGCAACTATAATAAATGTGGTCTAAAGCTGAAAGAATCAAAAGCACTATAAAGTGTGCATGTGTGTGTGTGTGTGAGTGTGTGTGTGTGTGTCTGTGTGTGTGTGTGTGTGTGTGTGTGTGTGTCTGTGTCTGTCTATCATATTGTGTTAGAAGTAGATTCAGAGATAGAGCAAAGTACCAGTAGTGGAGTACCAGGTAGTGTCACTAATGATCGATCATGAAAATGAAATTAAAATTCAACAACTTTGGTTATGTGATGCACTGAGGTGTGATTTAAAACAGGAGGCTACCTGTGTTAGGATTCATCTGACAGAAATTGAAGCTGCACAAGATAACTTTCACGCCGGGACAACAACAGCATTCGCTACTCAGTACTCTGGAGAAGCCATAACACAGCACGAGCTCACCCTGAAGAGACACCTTCTTCCTTTTAGACAGCTGGATGGAGTACAACTGAATGGAGTAGAATGCAGGAAATTTTACGCAAAGTAGTTCAAATGACTTTTAACTTCACAAGCCATATTAAAAAGGAAATGCGTTTTCAAGGCAGCCGTGAGGAAAATATACGCACGTAATTATTATTCGGGTAATTACGATATAATACAGGAAGAGCAAAGAGACACATTTTCTGAGCAATATACCATCAGGTTTGCCAGTATGCCAGTATCTTTAATTTGTAGTTCATGTTTACTGGGGGTTTTTAATACCTTTTGCAACAGTACCTATAGTAACGAGTATACGACACGTAAAAAACAAACAAACAGTGGAACGCGATGTAGTTACCAAATAAGTCGAAGACGCAGTATTGATATTTATAAATGTATTTATTAGACAAGCACTGGAGCAGACAAAACATCTCTCATGTTACTTTTATCTTAAATGCTCTTTTTCAGTAAATGTGTGGTTTTCAGTAAATAATAACCATATGGTTTGGAACCACACAAGGGTGAGGAAATGATAGAATAAAGGCAATATCGGAGTACAATTAACTGAAATTAACAACATTTTTCAGTAATGTGTGGTACAGTAGCGATCATTTCCCATCTCACCAGGCACTTTTCTGTATTGCTGGAATGCTAAAGTTAAGGCCCTTTCACAAACCCAAGCTTTAATGAGGAAGACCCAGTCAAAGTGATGTCACCCACAGTTACTGGGCCTCTGCAATTAAACATCCAGAAGCTCTCTGCAATTATATTTATCATCAAAAACAATTAAGCACTCACCGCCTGGGACATTACCCATCCTGCATGGCACTCCGCAGATAAGAGGGATGAATCATTCCTCCCTACTTTCTCTCCCTCACCCTCCCTTTCAATTCATCTGCAACAAATGCATTTCCATGTTTGGTTGTGTATTACTTCTCACCAGATTGCCATGTTTGCATCATTTGTCAAAGGGGTTTTCCGTCTGTTTTTGAGGGAAAGAGTTATAATGCTATCTGCCAGTGAGCGTATGTGAAGCCCTGTGCGGCCGATAGATTGGAGGTGTTGATGAATCACTTGAAATGTTTAGCAGGCAATTCGTTGCTGCTCAGTATGCAGGCCAGTGGGCTGAACAGCACCCATCAGGCCTGATATTAAAAGACTCTGCTCGATCACATTAGAGGGAGCTCTCTATGCCTGCTCAATGATTAAGTCTATGGGAGGCATTTGTCACTTCAGTTGAAGAAAAGCCAGACTTCACATTATACATGCATTCACCCTCTCTTTTAATGCAAATGCATGGACGTTGGGGTCCCAAAGTGTGAGACGACAAGGAAAAATCAGTTTGATACAAAATTATATCAGCTTAACAATTTGAGTTAAAAGTTAGCTTGGGTTGAAGCTCAGAATGTTTTAATATTTACTTTGCTCATCCTTTTGCACTCAAGCTGTGTGGACTCTACAAGTTTGTGTAAAACCTGATGATCATGTTATCCAGCATAATTTTATGAATGATCCAAAGAGCAACTTGCGCTTCAATGTAAACACAAACATCTGTTTTTAAATTTTTTTTTTATTAATGGCCTAGAAATATTTCTTATTTGTTTTATATTGTTGATACTGTATTTGTTTTACATTGCTGCTCTTTTAATGATTCAAAATCTTAAATGATACCTTTAAAAGAACACTTTTCTATTTTGATATATTTTAAAAAGTAAATTATTTCTGTAATGGCAATGCTAAATTTTCAGTTACCTTTTTTCATTCTATTTTGCTGATGTGGTGCTCAAGATTGTGTTCAACATTTCTTGTTATAATTAATGTTAAGACTGTTGTGTTGCTTAATTTTTTTTGTGGAAACCATGATGCATTTTTTTCAGTATTCTTTGGATATAAAGTTCAAAAGAACATCATTTATATTAAATATATATATATATATTTTTTTTAATGTAACATTACAGTATGAATGTTGTTGCTGTCACTTTCAATACATTGAATGCATAAATAAATATTACTCACCCCAAACCTTTAAACGTTAATGTAAATAATAATCTCTACATGGTCTCAGACTTTTGGACCCCACTGTAAATGTAAATCCTTTATGCATTCATAGTCACCAACTTATTTTTTTTCAAGCACTAGATTTGACGGAGGCTTTCTTCTTGAGTGGGTTGAGTGATCGTTCGATTTTGATAATGAGTCTCTTTAATTCTATTGACAAATGGGGTCACACTAGGTGATCAATGATAACCGTTCCAATTAAATTGCTAAACCTCTGCATGGTGGAGATTATGGCCATAAAGATATAGAGCAATTGGTTTGCTCAACAGCGGGGCGCCTTCAGTGGGCCATTTCACACAGATGTCTCTGTCTTTTAGAAGCTGCTGCTCACGATCAAGAAAAACAAGTCATCCATTTTATGGCCACAGGTTCCAAGATTTTTTCTCCCCCCATGTCTTAAAGTGATGCCTTATTTAGCTTGTCGGATTTTCCAAATAAACGCAATCGCTGGGTTTATGGAAAAATGGATAAAAATGAGATTGTAAGGTATTGATCCCGGCATGGGGAGGGCTGAGGAAAAACAGGCCTCATCTATATAGGGAGAGAAATGAAGCAATAATTCAGGCAGGCATCGAACACCCTGCCACTGAGCCTATCGATTCCTATCCACAGCATATGAGATCACACCTGAATGAAAGAGAGCTCTGGGGAAAAC